GGTTCGCGGTCAAATTTAATATCATATTACGCAAAGCATAAAAATGCATATTTGAAATCAGGAGCTAATTAATCAACATGGTGTTTGCTGTTGATGTCCATTCACAATAACCTTTCGATATAGAAGGAAAAAAAACTTTATAAAAACGTTTATTGGCTTTAAACCAGAGATATGGTCTTTTTATATCTTTAAAATACTTGTTTGCCTTTTTTAAGGTTTACGGCGTGTAGAGGACAGAAAAAGGAGAACGAATTTCATATGGATAAATAACAAAAACGTAACTTACAGCGCTTGGTAATATTTTGTCATAGTTAAAACAAGTTTTGAACCCAATACTTTTATGTCTCCAACAGTGTTATACTCTGAACATTAGAAGTTAATTACTGGCAATTCGTGCAACTTCATTTACGTACTTGTTATATGAACACTGTTTGCATATATGCATGGAAACAAAATGTGAATTGTGTAATTTTGGTCGTGGGCCGTATTCACAACTGATCTTAAGTTTTATCTAATAAGTTAAAACATTAGTTGAATACAATCTTAGCTAAGATTTTTTTATTTTAAGTTAAGTCATGTTCGGAAACTGACGTAAGTAAAACTTAGCCAAGAAATTTCTTACGTTTAAGAAATATCCTAAGCAGTGAATATTTAACTTAAAAAATCTAAAGTCGGTTGGAAATGAAAGTGTCTTTCCGTTACTAAAGATAGTAACGGAAGTGCTCTTCAATGTTTAAAATTAAAGCCGGTGTTTATACGCTGTCAAATCGAGATGAAAACATGTCAAAGTACCATATAAAACTAAAAGATATAGATAATGTGGAAAGGAGGGCAACATGATTTATAAAATGAAAATCTATATCTAAGAAAACTATATTAGGCTTTATTGTCTAAAAACGGAAAATGGATTCTTTAATTATGTTACTTGTCAAGGTCATGGCCTATGTATTGGCAGAAACCAATAGCACATATAACTTGAGGCAGTATGCTAGCCATTACATCGCTTGAATTTTAATGGATAAAAAAATCAAAAGATGGAGAGGAATAGGGTACGGAGAGGCATCAGTAAAGTGACTTGTAAAGATTACGGTTTTGAATTAGTATAAATGAGTGTCTGAAGCAAACGGTAAAGGTAGAACTTGTAAATGAATGAAAAGTTGAACCTAGTACAGACATTAGTTAAAATTTCATTATTTTTTATTGAAATGTTGCAATAAAATTTCTTTTAAAATAATTCAAAAAGAAGGCATTTAAATAACATTTCATGCTTTTCTGCTTTTGTCCTAATAAATCCTTTTGTGTGTAAACAAATCATCAGTTTTGATTTTTTATTATTCAATCCCTTTTAATTATTATCAAATGTGAAACTTTACATGAACAGTTTTTTACATCACACATACATGTTAGAACAAAATACATATTCAGAGACTGTGACCAAGTATATAGCCAATGCTTTCTATAATTGACATTATGATAGTGCTTTCACTGCAGAGTTTTTTTAATACATACTGTAAGCTGCCGGCAGATGTTTGGTTATCACAATTCCTAGTGACTTTGACCTCAAAATTGGGGGTGTGCAGGCAGAACTCATCAAGGTTTCTCCACATATAAAGATTCAATGAAATAGATTTGTAGGCATTGGAAGTTTATGTCTATAATTAAAAGGCTCCATGATGATGTACCCATCTATGGAACTTTTGGATTACTTTTGGATTACTTGTGGTCTTCTAGAGTGCGATCCCACTGATGTGTTCCAGTGTTAATGAACACATAAAGTCTTCATCGTTCTTATGTGTTAAACATGTATTTAGTGTCCATGATTTAAAGTTGCTACATGTGATATTTGATATTAGATGCCATGAGCTGTCAGATAGAAAATCGAATACATTACATATAAAGTCACTACACCTTAATTCCGATTCATTCTCATTTGTACAATGAAGCAGTGCCATGAGCTGTCAGATAGAAACTGGAATTCATTATGGTATTATAGCGTCACAACACCTTAATTCCGATTCATTCTCCATGTATTTGTTGAATGAAACGGTGTTCAGCAGCATAAATTATGTAACATGTTGCTACTATGTTGATATCTTTATTCTACTGTCTGTCTGGATGACTAGGAAATCCGAGGTTCATGAATACGAGGGTTGTTCAAAAAGTAATAGGACTGAAGTTCTTCTGTTCACATTTTTTAATTTACGTGCACAGTTTTACAAGATAATAATATCGGAACATATCCTCTATCTACAGTGAAAAAATCAATGAAATATGTTTAGAAATAACGAGTCTGTGAAAATTTCAAATGACAAGGGGTACGCGACCCGGCGCACGCTAACATCACAATAGATGACGTTTATGACGTCGTAAAATAAAAACAAAATGTATCAAGCGTCATCCCTTCTGAAAGAATTCTCTCTAGTGTTCTAGGAGTCTAAATCATGTAACTTTGACCAGACCTCATATGTGGAGATGAAGCGAGAAAGAAAACGATCACATTCTTGTTCCACTCTCCGATAAAAAACAGCCCGAAAGCCGGCCACTCTCCGCTTTTTCTCGTATTCTTGTATCTTATAGTAATCGATATAGATTAAACAGGCATTAACTTATGATGTTAATAAAAAAGCTATTAATACAATCATTTTACACATATCATCGTACGTTCTTAAAACAATATGATTATGTAAGTAAAATAACAATAGTTATCAACTGAAAAGTATATTTTCCTACTAGGAACAGCATATCATTTTAAAAAGAAAACCGGGGAAAATATTAATAATTACTGTTAATTATTATTACATTAATATACTGATAATTCATATATCTAGTTTAATGTAATAGAGTTTTGTTTGAAACAAAACATTTGGGCAGATCTGAATGCAGAAGTCAAACATGCCGGACAATTCGTGGACTGTTTACCGTCGATCATTTTGTAGCGCTTTTTCATTTGACGTCACTAACGTCCCGTCAATTTCCCGCTATCATTCTCATCCTTTCCTGTTTGTGATTTCGTATGTGCAGTTTTGGAATTGCTTGCGCAAGCTGGGAACGAGTATCCTGATAGCCGATTAATTGTACTGTGTTAATTTTATGTTTTCATATGTATCTAAAGGAGTATCGCCAATTTGTTGGCAAAGTTTAACGATCGCACACATTTTCAGTTTTTTAACGAACGTCAAATTTCTACATTTAACGTTATGACCACTGCTGTTCAAAACTTGATGATTTAGCCATTTCATGTCTGAATGACGTCAAGTTTGGGCATAATGTCACTTAAATGTAATAAATTGTGTTGGTGGAATAAATGGGGAAAAAAGAAAATAAATTAATATAATAAAATAGAAGTTCAAATAACCTTCAATAACGTTTTATTTGCTGCGCTGGGTGCGTGTTACCATGGTTATTCAATAATACAGGGAACATGCGTAAAGCACAAGAATTCAGTATTTTTATGCTTAAATTGAAGAACACATTATTCGATCGCTGTACATATAAAAATATTCTAAATATAATTGAATATGAAGATGCAAGACTCTTAGTCCTATTACTTTTTGAACAACCCTCGTAGTGTGATATCATCCAAAAAAATGTTAAAAATTATAGGCACATAAATAAAAATGCAGTTTTAGTTTTAAGTTTTAACTGAATATCATGCTGAATATCATTCAAACAAACAAATTGAGCATAATTATGTTGTCATTGAATGATTTAAATATAGATATCAACAAATGTCTATAATAACATTATTAATAAAATTATTCACCCCATAACAACTAACCCCACTTTAAATGAGATTTTGCACAACACATGTGACTATTCACCACACCTCAACATCATATTACAGAAGGATATTATTATGGCTGGTTAAGTGTCTAACCATGAACAACACTGCACAACACAACATTGTGTTCAATAATCTTGAACTGACAATATGATAATAATGGTATGTGTCTATATTTGACAGTGTTTTGAACTACATGTATGAAATCTTCCTAGGTTTGAATTATCTCCTTTATGAAAATGGGGGCTTATTCTGTAAATATCAATGCTAGAGTTATGGGCCTTGGATAGTTATCTCCAATTATAATCCTGAATATTAAGTTTTAAGTGAGTACCTGCAGTATTTTTGAAGATTGATGTAGAATGTAAAACTTCAACCAGGAATTTCTAGTTCACAAAGGATTAAATTTCTGAAAAAAAAATAAGCTAGAGTTATAAAACTTGGATAATAATCACCAATTATGATAAAAAATGTGTATTAAGTTTCAATTGAATACCCCTAGCAGTTTTTAATATTGATGGTATATGGAAAATCTAAACCAAACTGTTAGGCTGATGCCACAGAGTCGATTACTGTAAGCTTACAATGTCTGAATGTTTGTAAACCTTTCTTAAATAGACTATTGGGATTTCACCAGCATTGAAAAACGCATTTATCTTTTTCATTCCATCATAAATCTATTTTTCTTTGAATATCCTGTGTTAATATAGGCCTCCTTTTGAAAAAGAACTGCAACTTTACAATGCAATAATTTAAACTGTATTTCTCAATAGGATTGTTTATATAATTTATTAAAGCGACTTTGAAGAAAATATTGAGAACATACTGAGTCAAAGTGTACAGGTGTGCATATCATTTTCCTTTAAATTAAAAAAAAACTCTTTTTAAGGGGTTTTCCTTATTACTCTCACTAATAAAATATTATCTATTTTTTTAACATTAAAATCAATTATGATTTTTTTTCTTTCTATTTATCAAAAGGTACAGTAACCTAACTAGTATTTGAAGTAAAAATTCCAATGTCAACAATATTAATCATCTAGATAAAAATTTTATTTGGGTCACTAAGAAATAAAAAAAGTAAATTTTGTAGTCTCAATATTTTGATGGCAAGATACTTGGACATATTTTACAAACGTATATTACATAGATATCGGTGACATCTTTTATAAAGCAAACCCTGGTGCACAATATGTTGGGTTGTAGTAACTGGGTGACTCACTGGCTGATGAATGCAAATGCTGGACATTCATGGATGATATTTTATGTAAACAATCAACATGTTGAGAATGTAGGTGTATAATATTATATAATCTTGCTGTTGGATTAACCCTTTATCCCCTTGTAATCAAGAAGTTTGTTGTACAAAAACCGAAGAGTGCCTGCGTAGTTTGGTAAAAAATTGCCCCCACTTAGCGACGATTCGTCCCAGCTTATATTTTAACTTTAATAAACATTTTTGAATTCATTTTGATGGTTTAAAATTATGGTTTTGGTATTTTCTGTATTGATTTGGCATACTTTTTATAGCTAACATTTCATTTCAAGATAGAATGAAAAAATATCAGTTTGATAGAACTTACAATTACTAATATCATTTGTATATTAATCTTACTTTTAGAGTTAAAATTTATAAATTAAATAATTGTTATAAATAAATGATTCAAGGCAGTGGCTAGCCGTATGGACCCGCACTGCTAGCCAAATGTTCTAGCCGTATGTGAGGCTAGCCATACGATATTTTTAAAAATAAATAAACTAACAATAAAACAATAATAAATACGCAAATTTGTGTTTCTAATAGAAGATTTTATTGAATATCCTGAAATTGTTATCAATTACTGAGGGGAATATTAACTTGTTGCCTTCGATGATTGGAAGTTTTTTTTTCTTCTAAAAATCAAGGACTATAATATGAAAATATGAAGAGAAATAAACTGTAATATTATTATATCATTTGTATAAAAAATATTAATAATACATTTGTAATAAAAATTTCATCTCAAACGTTTTTACCGGGCATTGAAAATGACAAGCTGGTTGTCTGCTCACCATAACAATATGCAGCGCAACTGTTTTCACGTCTGCACATGAACGCTACAGTATAATTGACATTAAAGTTTGCGGGTCAATTTCCAGCGGTAGTTAGATTTTACATTTTACAGAATTTCAATTTGCTAACAAAAACTCTTCAATTAAAGGTGAATTTATTTCATCATCGCTAATATTATTCTTTGTAAAAATGTAATAAAACCTGTAAATTACAAACTTCATCATTGCATTTATCTACTATTGACAAAATACAGTACGGCTAGCCACAACAGTGCGTATATGCTTGACATATGTGACTCACGTACAGCTAGAACCTTTGGCACGCAGTACAAGCCAGTATGGCTACCCACATGCTAGATACAAAGAACATTTCATTTCACAAATATACGGTTACCAAAAGAAACATTTAATCTTTTCGTTTCTAAATTTTGATAACCTTAAGGACTTTTAAAATGATTTTTCTAAAGTGGGGCGAATCGTCGCTAATTTGAAGCGAATCATCACTGAAGTCGGGCAAAACGTTATGGGGCGAATCTTCAGTGGGGCAAATCATTATCAATTCATTATTTTTCAGGTTTTCAATAAACACAACGGAAATAAGGAATATACTTAATTTGTATATGTAAATTGTTCAGTTAAAATAGTCCGCTGAACATTGCAACTTGTAGCTAAGAGACAATGTCATTTAAGTGATTATCGCGAAAACCAGTGACATTCCAAATGAACACTCGTAAGCGTTTAGCAGTTATGTTTTTCTTTACAAACAACAAAAAAAACTACATTTTGCATTTTTCTTCGCACAAATATTTTTCTTTACAAGTACTTACCAGCAAGAAACTGACGACTTTTCTCCGGTTTGTGAAATGAGCGTCTCCTTTGAACGTCAATTTTTGCCGATTTAACTTCCTTGTTTTACTCACATATATCGTGTGTATAAATGTCTTTGAACGAAATCACTTTTTCTGTTATAATTGGCGTTGATTACCTCAATGAAATATCTTATACCAGTTAAAAACGCAAGTTTTCAATCTAATCGATGATTTACCGTCCGCCATTTTTAAGCTAATCTACTGCCAAGTGGTGAAATTTCTTAACTTTAAGATAGGGTAGTAGCTGAATTATATTTAAAACAAATATTGTACATCTTAAGACAAAACTTAAGATAAAAAACAGTTATGAATTTCACTTAAGTAAATTGCGGATTCGTATCTTAAATCTAAGAAAATTTCTCAAAATATAAGAGAAATCTTATATTTATGTCAAACAAAAACTTAAGATCAGTTGTGAATGCGGCCCCTGATATTTTTAATTTTAAGAAACTATCTACTCAACATCGGTTGACTTCGGCCGATGTCAAAGACAGAGAACAATGTAACTTATTTCAAGTGATAAGCAGTATAAAGTTATATCAAATTTGTAATCGATGAATTATCATAATAAAAATAATTTGGTTGGTTTCTAGATAAAGCAGATGGTGCAATTTTACCTAAACCTACTAATGTAGCTAATAAATAATTGAAAGCTGAGTGCTGTTTTCCTATTCATTTCTCTGCAATATGACAATTTATAAAACCTTCACCTCATATACTATATAGATAAAGCCATAAGATGATGAAAATAACGCATGCTTTAAACTTAAATGGTATATTTCGCAAGTAATAGACTGCACATTAAATTCTTAATGCGAACTGTTTTGATACAATAGACACATTTTAAGATCGCAACCTTATTTATTTCAGTATAATATGTATGATTATTTGTAATGATATGGTTAACTGCTATGAAGCATTATAATGACAGGAAAAGAAGTGAACCTTCAACTGGGGATTGTGTACGTACCTCATTCATGTACTTTAACACCGAAGAGCTTTGGGAGACTGAAGATTGTTATAAAAATTATGTCAAGTTTTTCATCTGTGAAAGACCGTTTTCATCGAACTACAGAAATGACAGTATGTGGCATATATTTCTTTGAAATTATTCCATTTATTCATCTGAAGGGATTCCAAAAATAACTTTATTATTTATTAGTTAAAGAGAAAACAATGCATAGTTGCCTAGTCTACGCCATTTTTGTAATGTTTGCAAATACGTTTGTCCGTCTTGCAAGACTTTAATAGCAACATGATTGATTTGTCAAGTTAGAAAACTCAGCTAGAATTGATAGACAAATTAAAATAGTATTTTGTATTGAATATAAAATCTATTTGGGAATCAATATGCTCTGTAGGTAATTTCATGAAGAAAGATGTGTGTAAACATTATGTAGAGAAAGACCTGATAACATCACCTTACTCTGGTAGAAATTGTCAGAATTGGTTTAATCTATCTGACAATGCTAAGCGTGATTTTGACATCAACTTTCCCGCCTTACGGGGCACTTTAGAAAATTCAACTTTATGTAAGGATCCCTCTGCACAAGATATTCCATGGTGCTATGTCGGTTACTCTGAGAAATTCTGGCGGGAGCCGTGCTTTTTGCAACGCAAGTTATTTTCATATACTTAATATATTTTAGCTTACCTGAGCAGAAAGTGCTCAAAGTGAGATTTTGTGATCACAATTTGTCCGGTGTCCATAGTCCGTCAGTGCATCCGTGCGTCAGTGAGTTCGTGCGTCTCTGCGTCCGTCGTCAACCTTTTCATACACAACTTCTCAGAAACCACTAGGCCAAATGTGATGAAATTTTCCATGGTTGTAGCTAGCATAAAGCTCTACTAAAATGGTTCTGCTCAATTGAACATCTGGATCAGCAGCGCTAAAAATAGATTGATGAAATTAAATCTTTATAAAAATTCTCCTCAGAAAGTATCATGCCTAGACAAAGATATTTTCTATGTCACATTATTTACAGTTAATAACTGCAACTTTACACAAAATGTTCAAATTATAGCCCTGGAGTCAAAATTTGCCCTGACCCGGGGTATTTAATTTCATTATGTACATAAAGTAAAAACTAAAAAAAATCTTCCTGTTAAAACCCGAAAAAGCTAGAGCTTAGATATTTGGCATGAAACATCTTCAAATAGGTGTCTACCAAGTTTGTTCAAATAAAAGCCCTAGGGTCAAAATTGGCACCGCCCATCATTGATCTTCCTTAAATGTATAAAGTAAAACTAAAAAAAGTCTTTATGTGAAAATCCAAAATCAATATATGCATTCCAGAATAAAAAAGGAAATTCCAGATGTCCTTTTACCGCGGGTCGACCTAAAGGCACTTTTTCAGCAACAAATTCACATGCAGAGAGAGAGAGAGAGAGAGAGAGAGAGAGAGAGAGAGAGAGAGAGAGAGACAGAGAGAGAGAGAGAGAGAGAGAGAGACAGAGAGAGAGAGAGAGAGGGAGAGAGAGAGAGAGAGAGAGAGAGAGAGACATACAGACAGAGAGAGACAGAGACAGAGAGAGAGAGAGAGAAACAGAAAGATAGAGACAGAGTTGAGAGAGAGAGAGAGAGAGAGAGAGAGAGAGAGAGAGAGAGAGAGAGAGAGAGAGAGAGAGAGACAGAGATAGAGACAGAGGGTGTGGGTGTTTTTTCAATAGCTAGAGCGTAGATATTTGGCATGAAATATCTTCTATTGGATGTCTACCAAGTTTATTCAAAGAAAAGCCCAAAGTTAAGCATTGACTCTGCCCAAGGAGTGGTTTATTTATTTTCGTTATGCAATAATATCCCTTTAATAAGGTTAAATAAAGTTTTGCATTTATAACAAGAACATAAATTAGATTTTTCAATTATTATTTTTTATGGTTAATGTAGATATGAAGAAAACATTGATGTTATGAAAAGTAAAATTGTAAATCTTCCTAAACCCAATCATATTTTCAATTAAATGCAGTATATATAGCAAGAGTTGACTAATAGGTGAAAGGGTAGTAGACGTCCGGTTAGCTCAATAGGTAGAGCGTTTGACTGTGAATCGAGCGACCCTGGTTCGATTCCCGGACGGCGAGGACACTTGCGTTGTGATTGATCATGAAATCCCTTTAACGGCCATTCGCACTGTACCTCTAATATGGTATGTATAGAAGTTTCAGTTTCTTTAGAAACTGAAGGCAACTTGTACTGGTAAACTGGTTGACAGCCTGCTCAGGAACGATGCGGTGATTGAACCGTGCTTTTGTGAATTCAATGTGGCTTGCTGCTGTGATCAGGAGTCTCAAGCTACCAACACTCACACACACGCACACGCACACGCACCAACACACACACACACACACACACACACACACACACACACACACACACACACACACACACACATAGATGATGTGACACACTGGATAGTTTATATGATGGTTGTAGTTGTGAATACTAAAAGGTGCAATTATTCGTTATAATTACTGTAAATGCAATATAAACTGTCGTGCCGTATGTTAAGACCCTGTTACACAATATTGTTATGGTTTTATATCATAGCTCTGATGCTCTTGGAACTCTACATTTTTTTTTTCAAATTAAGCCGTCATGTTTTAATATTTATCAATATTGTAGTTCCAAAAAGCATTATTTGTAATTAGACATTTATTTTTAATAAAGTCTGAGTCATTTTTTCAATAAAAATGAATGCATATATTTTAATAATGACATATAATGTGTACAAATATTTGAAATACATATTTTACATATTCTTCGACTTTTGAAAATTGGTCGATGATTTCTAGGTAAAGTTCGAATATGGATCACCTTGGGTAAAACACTTGTCCACACAGCCTTAATATTGGAAAACCTTGTTTACACTCTAGGGGCTTCTGTTCCAGATAAAATATCCTTGAAATTTGTCAGAATGGTTGTTATGATGATTTTAAGCCAGGTCAAGTTTGAATACGGGTCACTTGTGTTCAGAAACTAGGTCACACAGCCTTTATATAGGAAACCCTTGTTTACACCTTAGAGGCTACTTTTGTAATCCAAATTACCTGACAATTAGTCAAAAAGGTTGTTTTGGTGATTAATAGGTCAGGATTAAATATGGGTTATGTGTGGTCAAAAACAAGGTCACACAGCCCAAATAATACGAGACTGAACTTTCAAAATCAGCTGAGCGATATAAATGTCATCATGACCCTCTTGTTTAAATTAGTTTGATATTTGTCTGTCAAAACTATTAATAATACTTTTAAATGTAACTCCTTGAAGATACTGTTTTCTTTTCCATTTCTATTCGATTAATCGTCATTTAAAGATAATATTAATCAGCTTTAACGAAATGCTAATGTTAAAGGAAATTGAATGCACGTGTCAATAAAAATTAAATATGTGTGTAACATCAATTTTTAAACTACACAGTACAAGTATTGCATTGATGTTATATAATAACTATGTCAAGTCAAACAGCAACAACATTTCTGTTTATTTTTCATATTATTATTCAAATGGTATGCATAAATTTGTTTAAACGATTTAAATTTTCATTTTAACGTCAGTTGAAGGTAACCTCTCTATGACTGAAAAAAAGGTACCCGAGAAAAAGTGCGTCGTTGGTTCTTCAATACCGAAAATGAATTGGTGTGATAGGACATTTGACTGCTTAGACTTGACGGATGAATTGTCATGTCAGAACAAAATTAAAGGTTTGCATTTCGTTTTTAATATATATAAAACTTGATATTGTTGTTCTTAAGTTGAGTTTCCATGGCGTATATGAGAATTGTGAAATTTATTTTTTTACTAAAAAGAAAACTTCAACAATGTCTTATGAAAAAAACTTATTGTTTTAAATTCTTAATATGACACCCATGACACTTTTTTATTATACTTAAACGCTTTGGTCTTAATTTGAAAGTTGTGTTTATCGTCTCCCGATAAAATGCGCGCTACTGGTTCTTCAGATGAACTGCAGTGAGACCCTTATCTGCTAAAGCATAAGTTACTTCGTCAATAACTTCCGTCTTAATAATAGATAGCCTCACCTGAAGTGGCTTCACTGCCATATTTCATTCCTAATTCCTGTCATATCAATACAAACATGCCTTTCAATGCATTGCGGTGCTTCTTGTAAATTGCATAAGCTGATTTACTTGACACTTCTTTCATAATTTTGCTTTCAGAATTTTTTCAGATGATGTTATATTTAGTTCCCTTTAACACTTAAATTTTGAAACATATTTTTTCCTTTTTTTTTCAATAGCCTAGTTCACTTTGGCGATCAAATCGTCCGTATGACTTCACTTGTAGTTGTCTGAATATACCCTTTGTTGGTCGACAAAATCGCATTGTGTTGTAACCCTATTTGGTAGCTAATAAATCTTATAGAGACCAGATAAATGTTTTTGTATGAAACAGAAACTAGAACAATAATTAGTATGAAGATAAATAAGTGGTTTATATACATTTTCAAAACTTGATTATTAGCAAAATTGGATCAGCATTAGCTTTTCGTTTACAATATATTCAAAATATTAGCCATTTTCTAGTAATTATATTTTATTGTTTGCTATATGAAGCACTTGTGATAAACATTGTTTACCTTATTTTTTAAATGTCACTTTTTGAAGAAATTGTATGTTAACAAAGTATTATATCAGACTCCATTTTGTATTAAAATATCTTTAAAATTATTTGATAAACATGCCGAGGAAAAATAATAAACTGATTGCAATTTGTCCATTGTCCATGGGTATTCACAATTTATTTAAACACAATCTCTTACTCCTTAACCAGTTGGTTAATTATCCGAAGGTTACCATTTACAGTACTTGTGTAAATGGTTCATTGCCTGATGCAGAATACGAAAATGAAAGCTAGAGCTAAAAAGTTCAATTTTTAATAATAATCTTCTCCAAAACACAATGCATATAGCTTAGTAACTACTAGAAAACGTCGTCTTAAAAACGCTCAAACTGTTGAGAGCCGAAACAGTCAGATGCGTGATATTTAGGGTATCATGAATCGGTAATTGATTTTCATGATTTTTTGTTTAAAGATCACAACCTCACGATTATTGGCAAACCAATGGAGCAATCATATTTACCTAAACGACTTATTCGCGAGGCATATTTCACCTGTGAACATAGCAAAGAGTGGATATCTACCTTAGCTAAATGTGATAACGTCATAGATTGTCTCGATGCTTCAGATGAAGTCAATTGTTCTCACTATAAAATTGGTATTTTGTCTTTTGACTTTACATTTTTCCTTTAAATTTCCAGTTTACTTTCTGAATTTTACAAACGAATAGTTTGTTTATGCCATGTTACTTTTACGCACAAACTTGAAATAAATGAATAAGTCTAAAAACATATAATTAGTAGACAGGTGCTTTGTAGTTAAGCTGTTTTGTTGTATGCTATCTTTTAAACAGAGTTAATGATTTATTTTTTTTTTCGATATAAACTATATTCATGAATATAATAAATATAATTGTTCGACTTTGTTTGACTTTAGGGAGTTTTTCACTTTCTAGTATTTAAGTAGTGACTTGGTGTTTATTTCTTTATTTACACTACCTCTGTTTTGTAAGGAATATTAAACAATTATGAAGTTAAACATGTCCGCTTATAAAAAGAAATGCACTGCTATCAGAGGATGACATGTTTATGTGTACATTTATTTATTCTGCATATGAATTATGTTGTACTATTACTATATTATCAATTAATACTATATATTAATAAGGATGTGATGACAACGAATTCTCTTGTGATGGTGGACATTGTATTAAATTAAGTCACGTGTGCGATTTTATATCTGACTGTGCGGACGGTACAGATGAAATATGTGGTAATAAGTAAACATATAATTCAGAAAAATAATATTTTAAAATATTTTTCGCCTTGGCGTCCGATCGTAAACTGTTCATTTTACTTTTTCTAAAACATTCAAGCAAGCCTATACAAATTTCTAGGGACACAGTAAATGGTTTTTATATTCGAAATCTGTATTGATATAATGTATATTGTTAAGCTTATTGATAGTATTGTTTTAAATACAAATGCTATATGATGAACATCATGATAACTTACGTTATAAAAAATGAACAAAATGCCGATAAGTGCTATCAATAATAATGGTATTTTGGATACGTCGAAAACTTACATTTCCTAGAGGGGTACGTCAACAATGATAATTTAATGAAACAAATTGTGAAAGCATATCGTCTCCGAGAAAAACGTTGTGAAATATCATTTGATGTAAAGGTTAAAAACCAAAATTTATTGTGTAACTAACTTACGAGTACATGTAATGTTCAGTATTTAAAGCTTTATTTGATTCTTGCATGATTTACTTTAATTGCATATTGATCGTTTTACAAACATTTGTAGAATACCAAAAGTGTGATAAAAATGAATTTCCTTGTGATAGTAAACAGTGCATTCCATCAGAAAAACACTGTAATGCTATACCTGACTGTTTGGATAATAGCGATGAAAATAACTGCGGTTGGTATACGTTATTATATTACTATACTAATTAACTAAAATATATACTATAGTCATCTTTGAATAAACTATTTTTATGGCAGATATTTATTGAAATCTATAAAATTCCTACACAAGCTGTTTTATTAAAATAAAAAAAACGTATTAACTATGTATGGGAATCTGCATTCGTTACTACAAATAAACCTGGTTCTTTAAAAAAAACTGCCAGATTTTAAATGACACTATATTGTTCTAGTGTGTCCACTTACAGTGTGTATGACTTACACCGTAAAATATCTACTTTGTGTGAAGTCAAAATAGGTTTGTTTTATTATCATAAACAAATACCGCGTAACAATAACCAATATTTTCAATTATCAATTTTAGCATAGTATATCTCAAAGAAATACGATATTTACTTTTATAATGTATACCAACATCAATTACAAATGACAGCGAATGATTAAGAACAACTTACCTGACTTATTTCAATTAAACTGATAAAAAATCAAAAATATTGTGTGAAGAAATATCGCATGAAACATCATGTTCAGGATGTGAAAAGGGAAAAGTGGTAAAAGATAACACCAACACAATATAAAATAAATTCATATCAAAATGTTTTTATATTTACAAAACCATTCTTTTAATTTATCATTCCTGCAAATCATAAGTATGTTAATCACTATTTGTACCGGTTTGTTAATACAAAAAGGTAAGTGGTGTTTAAATTTATAGTATATGTTCTTGTTGTGGAAGAGCTCAGGTGCCCGTCATTACATTATTTTTGACATGAACGTGCACCTGAGTATGACCACCGACATTCCGTATGCTAGCAGGAAAGCTTACTCACATAAAAGGATCCAAAGTCCCTGTCGGGATGATTCGAATCCATAGAGGTGCGGGGCAAAACAGTTGTTGCAAATTAAAATATGAAGAAGCTTTAATCAAAATGTTCTACTAACTATTATAATACTGCACGTTAGTAACGTCACTTTTCATTGGATAATCGTGACGTTTATATAGTTTTATACACACGACTGCTGTCGATTTGTAAAGAAATTTCGCTTTATTCCTCTAAAAATGATGCTTGCTGTATTATAAATTCGTTATAAATATTTATAACAGGTTATATGGCCGTATATAAACGGTTGTTTACAATATAACCCTCGCCTAGCGGCTCGATTTGTATTTTCAAACAACCGTTTATATAGAAATAGGGCCATATAACCTGTCAAAAATCTTTATAACTAATGATATTTTTGTCATAGTCAAAAATCAATGAAATGTTTCATTTAAATACTTGTATATAATTATACGTTCCGGAATACGATTATTGCATATTTGTGACTATTTTGTTAAATCGAGGTTCATAAACACATGTTATCTTACCATTTAAGAGTCCTGCAGAAATTCATTTCTTTGTTCTGGTGATTACAAATGCATTCCTCTTCGTCTGATATGTGATCGATACCCTGACTGTACGGACAGCAGTGATGAATTAAATTGCTATCTGACAATTCCAACATCTGCTGATTTTAGCGATGAATATCTTTCTCTGACACATTGGAAAGGTGAGCAAATTTCTTATGTCAAGTAATTGCATTCTCAAAGTTTTGAGTTATTATGAGAAACTGTTTAAAGTAAAGATGGCAATAGCATTAGTGAACTTTACGAGCTACGAATGTCCTTTCAAATGCAATTTTGATAACTTAACCTTCCTTTCTGTCCCTTTTCTACATAACGCATTGTATGGCTTATGTATTGTTATTCATCCTTCTACGGATTGACATTTCTTCTAATATCTTTCAAACTGAAAAGTGTTTGACTCGGTTGCGAAGCAGTCGATTCTTAAATTATTTCGAATAAGACGCATGGTTTACTGAAGAACACAAAATTTATTTTGTACTTTTTTGTCCTAAATAAAAAACAAAAGTAAATGTAAACATTCACGTACATAAGCTTAACACTTCGTGACCCATTTTTATTTATTGCTTTATTCTAAAATATCTTTATTTACAATTTCTTTGAATGGACAAACAATGTTTTATTATCTATGTATATAAATAAGGGACTACATTATTGTCTGATTTCATGTAATTGGGTTGATTACCGGAACAAAATATTATGGAATCAGGTTTAAATTAGCTTGTGCCTTCATCTAAATGGGCACTGTTTTGCATCAATTTTAAAAAGCGCATCGGTGTAAGTGTAAACGTCTTTAGTGAAATTAATTATCTACTTTAGAAACTAGAAAAAATCGTTTTGGAAAAAAAACATATCTTATTTTAAAGTTTCATTAATAGCAACTTTTATATATTGTTAATATGGCATGAAAGTCGATAAACCTGTTACAAATCTGACGAAAATAAAAGCACACGTGTAACCTCGTTATACTTGACCAATTGATAAACCATGTATATTTATGGATTAATAAATATTTTTTACATCATTATTAAATGATAATAAAGCAAACTACTTTGCCTGTTTCCCTGCATACAGCATAAAACCACATTTTAACCACCACCACTCGTAAAAACTTAAGAAATTATACATGCAAACTTTTGACTTTTAAAAGTATGTTTCTTCTTTTTGAAATGAAAAAAGAAAATAACTCAAACTGAGACCTTTTGTCTAAGATTCCTGGCACAATTTTCGGTAATTTTCCTTTCGGCAATGGCTTAAGCCGTCCTATCGCAGTATCAAACGAGTATTAGTGCGGTCGTTATGGAATTGTCTTGACGTTGCGTTTCCCTTTTAACGCGGGAAATCGTCAAAGAAACATTTTATTCGGCCCCTTTTCAAGGTATGAATTACACAGATATGATGTAGTGTTTCACCATTCCTTTTCAGCAATCTCGTTATTGCGTTAACCTAACTAGCTCTTTGTCAGTTGTAGCGCTAAATTGTGTTCTTTCTAAACATGTCAGTTCATTTTTTTCAATTCAGTCTAATTAAAAGATAGTACGATTGTTGTCATAAATAAATGAGCAGTTTCCTATTTCAAACATTTCTTGTTTAGTCTATTTCATTCAAATGATGTTCTTGTGTTCACATATATAAAATATATGTTCCAGCAGGCAAAACATATCCCACAAAGATCCTCATGAATAATTTAACTGTTATGCTTTCTCCGTCGATTATATAGTTTACAAAACATTTTAAAGCAACAATTTTCATTTTATTGATATTTTCAGTTCTTATTATAATTTCATTTCAAGCATTCTCACATACACTAACGCCACAGATTTAATCAATATTTTTTTGACAAAGCGGCACCAATTCGTAAGCAGCGTAATTACATCATCCTTAGTATACGATTCATTCCTAAACGCGCTACAAAGACGCCGTGTCGAACATACGAGAAAATAAATTGTGCACTGTTGTAAACACAACGCAATTCAGTCTAAGACGTAAGTTTTTATTGTTGAAATCTTGATAAATAATGTTTTTCTTATTATTTCTTTTGTTTAATAATTTCTATATCTTAGCTACAGTAGGGTGCGAAATCGAACAGCGTTATACGAAAATCGGCACCGGAAGTATTCTTTACGCTTTAAAAATATCATTAGTGATCTTCCTTGTTTCTCTTGTAAGTATCGAAATAATATCGGTATTAGCGGTGTTTATCGGCCGGTTTTGTCGCTTTGATGCGAACAAATTAACCACTCAGGCCTACTTATTGTATTGTAAACATTATTATAATGATTTGTAAGTAATGATTTTTAAGTCATCAAGGTGGGTTTTTGAGATTACAATTTGATCGACGTCCATCATCCATCAATGCATCCGTGGGTCCGCTGTCAACTTTTTTACAAACGACTTCTTCTCAGAAACCAATCCGCCAAATCTATAAAAAACAAGAAATGTCGAACGACACATATGCCCTCCTCCCCATCTAGCCCTTGACTCACATTATTGGTAATTTTGTTAGAGATACTTGCCCTAAATGTTTATTCCATGTTTTCAATTATGGAAAAAAGAAAAATAATGAACACTTTGTGATAAATAGTTTATGATAATAATGAGACATTTAAAGCCCCTGTGACCTAGACCTTTGACCAATCAGTATTAGAAATAGGAAGACTTTGTGATAAATAGCTTTCAAGATAATGAGCGGAAACCATATTTACATTCAAGGCCCCTGTGACCTTAACATTTGACATAGTGACCCCAAAATCAATAGGGGTCATCTACTACCGTGTGAAATATGACGACGTTTATTAATTCTAGCTCTGCAATTAAAAATTGCCCGGCCCAAGGTGTTATTGATTTTCGTTATATGCATAAAGTAAAACCTTTAAAATCACCTTATCTGAATTGACAAAGGGGCGAGAGGTTAAAAATTTGCATGAAACATTGTGTAGTGGACCACTACCAAATTTGTTCAAATTTTAGCCCTGGGGTCAAAATTGGCTCCGCCCCGAGGGTAATTGATAATCATTATGTACATATTATAGAAAAACCTTTAGAAGTCCTCTTTTCCAAAAATGCTAGGCATAAACATTAGATTTGTGTGTAACATCCTCGAATTAAACTCTACAAAAATGTTGAAATTTTAGCCCTGTGGTCAAATATATCTTGGATCAACGCGGTCAATGATTTTCCTTTAATATATTGTAAATACTTAAAAATCATCTTCTTTGCATTGACAAAGGCTAGAGGTTAGATATTTTGCATGAAACGTTGTGTTATAGACCGCTATCAGATTGTTCAAATAATAGTCCTGGGGTAAAGTTGGCCCGTCACGCTGGTCATTGATTATAGTATGAACATGAAGTGAAAGCTTAAAATGTCTTCTTTTCTAAATGTATTAGGCGTCGTTTTGTTGTGGTCTTTCTCTTCTTTGAGAAAATCTACTTTTACCATGTTTAGCCTTCAAGTCGTCGGATGTCTTTCAAGAATTTACTAAAATGTACTATAATAATTTGCGTTGAAAATGGATCTTTTGTCAGTTTTATCTAGTTTGGTATGACAAACTTTGACAAAATCTTGTCCAACACCGGTATATATATGTTTGTTGGAATACTTTAATTTTTTTCTACTATTGGATCTTTTGAATACTCGTCTATTGCAGAGAGTAAATAGTCCCAATTTACGAGCGGATCACAAATGTCAGCCAAGGTATCGAAAACTATTCACTCATACTCAAAATTTAGCGCGGTCTTGGTTTATTTAAAATTGACTGACATGTTAAACACTATGAATATGTAACCGGCACTTATAATGTATTATTTGTACACATGTCTTATGTTTTGTGTTGTTATATATCTCCTGTACATTTTTCAATTCGTTTTATCATATTCGTGCATATTCTTTATCATATTTACGTCCTATTTATTTCCCATATTTTCCAATGTAATGCTATACCTGACTTTTTGGATAAAAGCGATGAAGATAACTGTGGTTGGTTTACGATATTATATAACTATACTTATCAACTTAAAGATATACTATATACTATGTATGGGTATTTGCATTCGCTACTACAAGTAAAGCTGGTTCATTTCTTTCGTTAAAATCTGCCAGATTTTAAATGACACTATATTGTTCTTTTATGTACACTTACAGTGTGTAGGACTTAAAACGTAACATATCTTCTGTGTTTGAAGTCAAAACAGGTTTGTTTTATATTTATAAAAAAAAGCCTCGTAGATATAACCAATATTTGCAATTATCAATTTGGGCATAGTACATCTTCAGGAAATATGATATTTATTTTATAATATATACCAACATAATAACAAATCAAGCCGAATTATTGAGAACGACTTACTTGACTTAATTTAAATTAAACTTATAAAAAAAACTTTCAAACTTTCATCTTTTAAAAAAAATTAAAACTATTGAGAAAGAAAATATGGCATGAAATATCATGTTCAGGATGTGGAAAAAGTAATGGTAAGAAATAACGCCAATACAATATAAAATAAATATGAAAATATTAAAAAAAACATATAACATTTTCTTAATTAATCATTCCTGCAAATCATTTGTATGTTGATAACTATTTGTACTGGTTTGTTTATAAAAAATGGTCAGACATTTTTAGAATGATATTATTTGTTCTTGTGAAGGAAAAACTCAGGTGCCCTTTATTGCATTATTTAAAATCGAACGGGCACCTGAGTAGAACCACCGACGTTCCGTAAGTTTGCTAGAAAACTTATAATATGAAAGATTCCAAAGTCCCTGCCGGGATGGTGGTGAGGGGCAAAAAGTGTTGTTGCAAAACTAAAATTTAAAAACTAAAATTTAAAGAAGCAGGCATCGCAATGTGTCACTTACTTCCATTTTGTTTCATAGTCAAATTACATTGACACCATTTAGATACGAAGTACGTTTACCAAAAACGTTGAATTTAGAATGTAATATTAAATCAAGTTTTATACACACAATTTATTTTATATTAAAGAGCCCTGCACAAATCAATTACTGGTGACTACAAATGCATACTTTTAAATTCTTCCAATAATTAACTTGTCACGATGTTAAGAACCCAAAGATGAACATCTGTCTCTGACAGCTTTTGAAGGTGTGAAGAAATCTTCTATCTTCTATCAAATTATTGCAT